CAGCATTTTAGAAACAGTAGCAACATTGGACCAGCAGGTTGTCATCCACTTGATTTCTACCCTCACTCAATCTCTGAAGGATTCAGAGCAGAAATGGGGCCTTGGCAGGAATATAGCACAAAGGTATGTTTGATAATTTAATTACATTTGGTTGGGGTGGGCGGCAGTGATTATAAAATCTATATTTCATCTTATAGAAATGATTTATTTTCTTATTCCCCAAAATTTGGGTGTGTTCTTTTGAGATGAAAAATGTTTCAGTACTGTGATTGTTATCAGTTTTACAAAGTGTGAATAGTAGTAGCATGGCTTATCAACAAACTTAGCAAAATCAATTACATACATTTGCATGTTTTTCCTTTCAAAGTGACCGCTTTAGAAAGCTGTATATTTCAGCACTGCTGCTGTTGCTCAAAACGCATTTCCGTGTTCCTCATTGGGAAGTGGACCTCATAGCCTTGGATGTCTTGTTTTTTTAATAAAATTTATGATGGCAAATCATAACCCTTTGAGGAATGCTTGATTTATTTAGTCAGCTGTATCATATGTCTAGTGAATAAGTGACCCTGTTAGACAATATAGGTTTTGGTCAAAAATAGGAAATAAGACTTTTTTTTATAGGCTCATAACTCAACTGAAAATAGTGCTGGACTATTTAGAGTCTCAACATTGTGGGAATAAGCCTATATTTATTTCTTAAAGAAATTGTTTTAGAGTAGTCAGTACTCACAGTGGAATTTTTATGTCCTAAAGGTTATTAAAGAATCAAAATACAGTTACGTGTTGCTTAATGACAGGGATAGGTTCTAAGAAATGTGTAGTTAGGCAGTTTCATCATTTGTGAACATCAAATAGAGTATATTTACACAAACCTAGATGGAACAGCCTACCACACACCTAGGCGATGTGGTGTGGCCTATTGCTCCTAGACTACCAACTTGTATAACATGTTACTGTACTGAATACTACAGACAGTTGTCACATGATGGTAAGTATTTGTGTATCTAAATATATGAAAAGGTAGAAAAGGTACAGTAATTATATGGTAGCAAAGATTTTAAAATGATACACCTATATAGGGCACTTAACAGTGAGTGGAGCTTGCAGGATTGGTAGTTGCTCTGGGTGAGTCGGTGAGTGAGCAGTGGTAAATGTGAAGGCCTAGGTCATTACTGTACACTATTGTAGTAGACTTTATAAACAATACACTTAGAGTACATTAAAGTTGTTTTTAAAATTTTTAATTTTTCAATAATGCATTAACCTTAGCTTACTCTTTTTTACCTTTTAAACTTTTTCTTTAACTTTTTTGCTCTTGTAAAAATACTTAGCTTAACACACACATTGTATAGCTGTACAAAAATATTTTGTTTCTTTATATTCTTGAATGCCTTTTTTCTATTTTTAAATTATTTTTTATTTTTAAACTATTTTGTAAAAAATGAAGACACACACGCATTAGCCTGAGCCTACACAGGGTCAGTATGATCAACATCACTGTCTTCCACCTCTACATCTTATTTCACTGGAAGGTCTTCAGGACCAGTAACACACATGGAGCTGTCATCTCCTTTGATAAGGAGGCCTTCTTCTGGAATACCTCCTGAAGGACCTGCCTGAGTCTGTTTTACGGTTATCTTTTATTTTTATAAGTATAAAGAAGAGTACACTCTAAAATAACAATAAAAAGTAAAGTATAGTAAATACATAAACTAAACCAGTAACATGATTGTTTCTTATTATCAAGTATTATATACTGTGTACAATTGTGTGTGCTAGACTTTTACATGACTGACAGTACAGTAGGTTTGTTCACACCTGCATCACCACAAACACATGAGAAAGGCATTACACTAAGACATTACAATGGCTACAGCATCACCAGGCATTAAGAATTTTTTAATACCATTATAATCTTAATGGGACACATCATTGACCAGAATGCAGCCCATCATTTACCAAAATGTTGCTAATGCAGTGCATGACTATAATCATATGCATGTGTCTGTGTATATGTATCTATACAAATACACAGTCTAATGAATATGCATATTCCAATTTTTAGATGAAAATTTTTTATTAAACAATGTCATATATGAGATCTTTCTTGGAGACATGACTATATTGACTATAGCTTTAGCGAACTAATGGAATCCAGTTTTTCAGTACAGTAAATGAAAACCATATAAAAGGCACGGGGGGTGGGGGGGCAGACTGGAGAGATCATCCTTGTAAAGCTTTTGTATGCCAGAATGGAACATCTCCTTTCTTCTGCATAGGGACTTGGTTAGCCTCCTATGGTTTTCTAGAGAGAGAAGATTGAATCACTTCAAATTGTAGTTTGAAGAAGTGGTGTTTATTGTCATGTCACAAAACAAGCTCATGCACAGACATGTCTCACATCTGACTTCTCTGAGCAGTCTTCAAATTTTAATGAAAAAACTAGAGAGGCTATGTGTGAACCACCCTAATGCAGTATGTTGTTAAAACAAATATTCAGGCCTACTACCTTGTGTGGTTGTGCAGGCCCATAAGAAGGTTGGTTTTAAAGGTTCTGAATAGAACAGGTATTTAGACTAGTGAGATAACTGCTAGGCACAGTAAATCATCTAAAACACCTCCCAGTTACATTCTCTACATACTAGAGAATGTAGGAGGAGAGACAGTATTTTATTTTCAAACGTCATTACCTATAAGAGGTTAAAAGAAGAAAATGGGATACATACTGAGATTGCTACACAGGTCTATTTTATAGTTACAGAATTTTTGTTTTAATACTTAGGTTTGTGATACAAGTATTCCCATTGTAATCATACCATCATTGTCCTTAAATAATATTCCATGAACGTATTTTATTACCTGTGACCATTATAATATTTAAGAAGGTTAGTGAACTTTTACATGTTTTTTTTAGCACACATTTTATATATAAAAATCACACTTAAACTCAATACATCTTAACATCTAGATTTACTCACAATAGATATAAAACATTACTTTTTAAGAAGTGTTGTGCTAAGCCTGCTGGACAGATGGCTGGATAGATGGATGGATGATGGACAGCCAGACTTAATTTGTAAATACTTAAATGAAAAATAATGAAAATGGTAATAAATATATTTGCTTTCTTTTCTTTTTTTTAAACAGGGAAGCATATAGCAAACTTTTGTCTCACCTTGGACAGGTGGGACAAGATGAGATGCAGAGACTGGAAAATGATAATACTTAATATATTTTGTGATTCATCCTGTCTATTGATTATCAGTATCTAAAGCCACATTGTTCCACTCCAATTCCTACTTTTAATTAATTGTATAATGTTCTGTTTAAAATAATTTCTAGGATTTTTTCCCTTTTATATCTGTAAGTAAAAAAAAATGTATAAATAAGGAACTAAAGGTTAATTAGCAACTATGTAATAGGATCCTTGGAACTTTGCAAAACTGCATTCTACCTTGATGAAATTTTAAACTAAATTAAAGAAACTTTTTCTAACTGGGAGTGTTTTCTGTGTATGAGTATTAAGCAGATACTTAAGCAGATACTTCATCCATGGACTTTTGTTGTAATATGACTTCCTACCTCTCTGCCTTGTGACTGATTTGTCATGTTTATTTTTTATTTTTACAATAATAGTTATGTTTTAAAATGATACTTTTTCAATAATACATTATACTGGCTACCCTATACTGTTTTTTTTGGTGGGGGAAAGGTGTTGGGAAATATGACTGTGTATTTGTTTTTCTTTTTTATATGTGTGAGGCAAGTTAATAAATAAAACCCTTACAGAACACACTTAACTGTGTTAGGAATGAGACTGAATCTGGCTAAAGGATTATACAGCTGATATCCAAAAAAAGTGTAAACATGCCAACAGGGTTTATATTTAGGTTCCAAGAGTTGCCAAATTTTTTCTTTATTTATGATTTCTTTTGCAGTTGTCATTTTAAAAAATCATATCAGGAGGAGGAAATAAAGGAGACTTTAAGAGGAGAATAAAGAAAAATATTCTAGAAAAGTAGTAATAGTAGTGGTCTGAGAAGTCGGCTGATCTATCTTCTTGCTCTTTAGCCAGAGCTTCTTATAACTTAGCATTTTATCCAAGAAACCTGTTTAGTTTCCTTTAACAACATTGTTTCTCAACTTTTGAACTCTTACCTCATCCAGATTGTTTTACCAGTTGGATCTTGTCCTTGACTCCTTTTCATAGCGATCATTATTTGGTTGAAAGAACTCCGGTCCTAGTTTTGGGAACCCACCTGGGTTTCAAACTCAGCTTTGCTTTATGATCTTGAGCTAATTACATAACCTTTCTCAGTCTAGTTTCTTCATGGAGAAGAAAAGAAGAATCCATTTACTATTTGACAATGTTATTGTGAGAATCAATGGGATAAATGTGAAAACATTTGGTGGCCCTTATTCTGTTAGGAAATGTACAGACATGATTAGTTTATTACTCATGCACAATTAAGGCAAAGAACACCTCTCAATTTTATCTTTCTCTAATGATATGTCCCAGATGAATGATCCCACTTTCCAATGTTTTCTTACATCATATTTTCTAACTTTGAAGTAATTTGTTTCCTTCTTGGGATTATAGTCTTTATCGTGGTTCTACTCTTCCTTCAAGAAAACATTTCAACCCTTCTGTGGCTCAAGGAGTATCTTTAAAAAAGAAATACTTTGCAATCAGCATTCTATAGTTAATAGCTCTCTCTTAATTGTAATCTGTGAAATCCAAAGGAGTGTCTGTTATTTTCATAACATATAAATGGTCTTTCTCTCAAATCAACTTCATCAAAGGGAATAAACGAAAGCTTAAGGCTGCTTAATAGACTTCATAACACTGAATTTCTTTTCATCATGATAGTGACTTACTAAACAAATAATGTATGGCTTGGCAAGTTCCAGCAGTTACTGAGGAGTTTTATCTATTTAAGGTGATGCCTTTAAAGAGGTTATTTATGTGTATATGTGTGTGTGTGTATATATGTGTGTTGTTTTTTTTTTTTTTCCAAAGGAGATTGATTAAAGATATGTTTGAGAATCTTGCTTCTTAGAGTATGAAACATTTAAAGGATAGGAAAAGCTGCTACTGAATCATGCTTTAGGACATATATCTGTAGATACTAAGAATAACTAAAATTTGTACTTAAAAATGGTAACAACAAAGTCTGTAACAATATGTGTATTATATGTTTTGTATTTATGTATAAGTAAAATTTTTTTAAAGCTTTTTTTTTTTAGTTGACGAAAGAAGAAAATTTATGGCTCAGTTCCTTTTTTAAAAAATCTTCACTGATCTTTCACTTACTACTACAATCTTGCCTTCTTCCATTCCCAGACTTGGAGTCCCTTATACCTGCTTCTTTAATAGCCACTTTTCCCTAAATACCCTGTAATTTCGGAGGCTACTTCTTCTACCAGTGTAATATAAGCCATTCTTTTTTGGTCAAATCTGAGTTTGTTCTCCTTTCTCATGTTCTTTGTTCTTTAGTATTTGTGGGATGCAAAATCTGAGTATATGGAGGACTAACTTTTTGTATAGGCAGGTTCCTCAGGGCCAATTGCGGGACTTGAGTATGTGCAGATTTTGGTATGCACAGGGGATCCTGGAACCAGTCCCCAGACATATCAAGAAATGACCACTGTATCTTGAGAGCACCTTCATGGTCTTCTTTCCTGTCCCCAGTCGTAAGATATGACCCTTCATCTGCTTTGTCTCAACATTCTGTTAGTGGTGAACTGATAGCTCCACCTTTTATCTCTTAAATCTCTTTCTAGTGCTAATTTATCTCTAAACCTCTGTAGTTGGAGTCTCCTGAAATCTCAAGGCAACATGTCAAGCTACCCATGTCACTTTCTATTTCAGACTACCTCCTGCTTTGATTTTCTACCCAGGGAATACACTATTGTCCCAAGTTATTTAGCCTTGAAATGTCAGAGGCATTTTAGGTTCTTCGTTTTTCTCCCACTTTCAGTTGATTACCATTACAGGCTCTTAGGCTTCTTTTTTTCTTTTTGCAATGCCTTGCATCCACTGGTTTGATGTTTGTTTTTTCTGTTGGGCACTACTAATTTCCTTACCTCTGGTGTCCTCTCCTACATCTTATGTTCTGAAATGTATATTCCTAAAATACTGTTTTCCTCTTGTTACTTTTCTGCTCAAGGATTTCCAATAACTGCCCATTGTTTATAAGGTGATGTTCAAACCCTTCAGTCTGGAGACTTTCTGCTACCTATCTGAGTGTACCTTTTATCTTCAAGCTTATCTCTTTCCAAACAAGAGGCTCCTTTAGTAGTTTTCTCTGATTGCCATGTTCATCCTACACTCAGCCTCATTCAGTTTACAGTGTGGAAACTGTATAGGACCTGTTTCCTATAGAAATTGAAGACACTTAAATAGGAAGAAAATTAAAATACACATTTGGAGACATGAGAATTCCATTCAAATAATATCTATACAATACCAGATACAGTATAAAAGACGATTGAAGGACAACAGTGATGAAAGGACTTTATTAGGCATTTGGATTTGGTTATGATTTAAATTTCAATTTAATTAGAACGTTTCCATGGCGAGGAAGGAAGCACGGAGGATTGTGGAAAAGTCATTCAGTATTGAGTTCATTTGCATTAGAAGAATTTCATAGTTTAAAACTTGTATATCTATACCTGTCCTTCGTATGTTTTCTTCTTAAGCATATTCGACTTTTTCTACCTCAGCATCTATATAATATTTGTGAGTCAGATGTTTGTGGGTTTTCATTACCTATTATTATTTTCTTCCATGCTTTACAACAAATTTTTTAAACTACCTTGTTCTTAAATAATTACATGGACTTGTTTCCATGTACTTTCACAGAATCTTTGACAGCTAAAATTATGTGTTATATAAAAATTTGACAAGCTTCTACAGTCGAGAAAAGCCTTTACAAATCTGCCTTCCCCAAACCGTACATGTTATCATACCACTCATGTCTCCCCATGTCTGAAAGGTAAATAGATACAGAAACCTCACCAAAAGTTGAATCATCTGTACTAAACCACTGCTTTTTTATCCAGACTTTTTATATAAATCTTATATTTTCCAAAAAACTGATCTTTTGCCTACCCCTCTTAGAGTTAAAAATATTGCCTTGTCAGGCAAGAGTATAGTATGCCAATATAAATAATATGCTTTATTTGGATAGAAACAGTTGGTTTGGGAAGCTAGCAACGTAGCATATTCTTCACAAATTTAATAAGATATGTGTATTTTGATAGTGTGATAACCTGCATTGTAAATTACCAAATGGTTGGAATTGACCAGTTTATACTTATTAAAATTTTTGTTGTGCCGATGGCATCCAATTCATTGCATTTGTGAATTGTGCTTCTAGAAAAATTGTGGACATTTTAATTTTATATACATATTTATGAGTTATTTGTGCATATAAAAATTTATATATAGTAATAAAAGTATATATTTAACTTACATTGTGCCCTTGATTATTGAAAACTTCCTTTTTATAACAGATTCATTATGTGGAAGCTAAAGTAAAAATGAGCCATGTTACCAGAAGGAATAATTTCTATCTTATTACTGATGTTTTTATATTTGTGGTAAAACTATAGAAAGTTAGGTTTTCCGATGTCATGGTAGCTGAAAGAGTTTGATGTACATGTGGTTAAAGTGTGAAGAAAATATGAAGGAAAAAGTATGAAAAGTACCCTAATCATTACCTAATTGCTATTTTGTTATTAAGGATCTAAGAAGTGTTATTGCATTGTACAGATGATTTTAGAAATTCACATCTTTGCTGGCTTTTCCTTTAACACCAAGAATATCTGTTATCATCTGTGTGGTACTGTATTTTGTTTTCTCTTTTAAAGTAAAAACTTGAAGTGATATTTAAATGTTTGCAAGTCTCATGACCTTCCTATAGAAATTCACATTAGTATAATAATTTACATTACAAATACAATATAACCTTTAATTTTGAAGAATAAAAATGGAAATGGAAGATGAATTACTATAGGGTAGTTCACTTAAATCGAAAGTGTATGTTTGAATAGTTTCAGTGAAATTTGGCTCATATGACCAGACATAGTTTAATAGAATCCTATTATTGATAACCTTGAATAAAAGGATCTAATTATAACTTATCTAGGTTTTTTTCCCTTTTAGGGAAGAGATGTTATGTTTTTGTACTACTCTTGGCTATAGTTATAAAGGATGTGTCTGAACCTGGTAAAACTTTTTAAAATTCTGAGTTCAGTTCTGTAATATTAGTGAATATTACATTATAAAGATCACTTAGGAGGGGTTGATAATATATGCTGATTTGTTTTATATGAATTGTTAAAAATATATACAGAAATGAGGGTAGTCTCAGGCTACCTTTCCATTAGTTGGGTAAGCTTGTTTTTAGAGCTTTCCCTTTCATTGATTGGATGTAGGGCCTGGGAATACAAATAGATTTTCATAGTTTTACTAGGTAAAACTGCTAGAGAGAAAATTCATGTCCCAAGTAGAAAAATTAATATAGCTGAATACTTAAGTCCCTGTTGAAAAGATTTCTGAAATACTGGAGTTCATTTTCCTGCCTTGGTAAGGCATTTTTAAAATTTAGTTTAGATGGCTTAAACCATTTAAAGAAGCTATCTTCATTCTAAATTTCAATTGTCAATATCAATTTTCACTGTTGAGAACTGTCCTCAACAGTGGTTTGTCTATACTAAAGGAAATATACTAAGTATACTAAGGAATTTAGTCTATACTAAATTCCTATTCTTTTAAAAATTTACCTGTTTTCCTTCTCCCTAGTCTCCTTCCTGCCCTTTAAATCTGAATAACCAGAAACCATATATTTATTTCTATGTTTTATGTATAATGATATATGAAGTTAGTGAATTCTGTGAGACAAAAAGATCATTTTTATTCACTTTTGATTACAAAAAATGGTTACATGAATAAAATAACAATTTCCTTTAAGAGAGGGATTGCTGAATGATTAAACTGTCAAGGAAAAAAGAGTGAATTCTTCCTTTTAATAAAGGTGACCTAGGTCCTGAGGAAGTTAGGAAAAAAAGAAAAACTCACATTATACTTGTTAAATGTGTTTTCAAATGTGATTATTAAGTTGTTGTATTTATTTTTTGTTATAGACAAAGCAAACTCAAAAACTAGCCTAAAAAAGAATTCCTATGCATTATTAAAAGTGATAGTAATAAAATATGTATTGGTGGTGGAGAAGAATCCCACAAGCACTCAAGATTGACATAACCTTTAACAAAGTGGAAAAACTTTTATTAGAACTGCCAATTCTAGGTTCAAATTTATGTCAAAGCACTTTATGGTACCATAATTAGTACAACTAAATTATTTTTTAGCTTTAAATGTCATTTTTCACTAAATGATTTTAAATGAGACATCTGAGAGTTACTTGAGGCAAGTTTAGATATCTGTACAAGTTTAGATATCTTTGATTTTAATAAACTCCCTATTTCCTAACTGTGTGTCTTTCACATGCTTTTTAGAATCATTTATTCCATAACATGTTTTCAAATTCTATCTAGTAATTTTTAAACTTCAAAAATAATCTCCCTGTTCATTTACAAGGTTCTAAAGACAGTAAAATACCTTGTAATTTCAGTAACACTTTTCTTTTTCTTGGGCAAAGTATTTCAAAATGTTTGCCTAATCCTCATGATGTTCTTTTAAATTAACATGGAAATCAGTAATTATCCTCCTTAAAAGGTGGGAAAACTGAAGCATTGTAAAGTTAGGTTCTGACCCAAGGTCAGCGTAACCAAGGTGAAAAATCTGGGTGTTTCAACTACTGTTCCAGTGTATGTCTATTATTCGTATCACCTTGAATAAAATATGGTATTTAAAATTTTATGATGTCATAATGCTGAGTCTCTACTGAGCAGGGCTGCTTAATGTTAAATTTTAAAAAGAAAAATTACAAGCCCCGCTTTAAATAATAAAGGGATTAAGTACAGAATATATATTTTTTAAGATCATCGATGCCATTTTGTCCAATAAATTGCCTTACTAACAGTGTTATGTTGTCTTAAGACAGTGCTGATTAGAAAAAGTGTACAAAGAATGCTCTAAAGACCCTTGGGACACAATGTACCTTAAGTTGGCACTAAGCTATACCACAATAAAAGTCATACATATTGCATGTTGACATACACTGAGAAGGGTGACAAGAGTTTTTAATAATGTATTTTAGAAAATTGTTCATTTTTTGCTTAAATTTATCAGAATACAAGACCTATAAAGCAAGACAAGGAAGCATTGAGCACTGAGTCTTTTCATGCCCAGTATCCAACAGTCAGGGCTATGTTTTCCTCCTGTTCATGATGGCATTGGCTTTTCAGATGGTGCCAATCCTGTGATGAGGCACTTGAAGAGTTTGAAGGTTAGGGCATGTGAAATATGGAGCTGGAAGGAAGCATGCTGCTATTCCATTGGAAGCAAAAGGGAGTGTAGGTCCATAGAATACTTCTTCTTTGCCTTCTCTGCTTACATCCAGTACCTTCAAAAGAGGAAGAGAAGCAGCCTGTACATCAAAGATGACTGCTCAAAATAAAGCTATGTATACATAAAAGAAATTCTGAACTTAGTTATGCTACCATCACCATATCTTAGGAATTCTTTTTCTTGCTTGGATGGTACCAGAGAGATTTATTAAGCTCCTACTAAATGCTACACTATGGTAGTATGTTTCTGGATGTACATATATACATACATGTATATTTATAAGCATTTAATCTTCAGAACAATTAGAGGTAGGTAGCATTATCTTCATGTAAGAAAACTGCCTTAGACAAGTTAAATAACTTGCCCAAACTAGTTAGTAGGTGGTCTGTCATCATGTTGGCTTAAACATCCTCATCTGTGAAATGAAGAAAACAAGACCTTGTAGCTTTGTTGTGAAAACTGATGACATCTAGCTCAGTGTCTGGCAGGTAGTGGAATATAACACAGCTTAGTAGCAAGTTCAAAATTAGTTCAGTTGATTCTGGAAGTTTTCCCCCAGTTCTTTCCTGGTCATGCTGGAGTTCTTTTTTTTTTTTTTTTGACAGGGTCTTGCTCTGTCACCTAGGCTGGAGTACAGTGGTGCTCACTGTAGCCTTGATCTCTTGGACTCAAACAGTCCTGCTGCCTTACCCTCCTGAGTAGCCAGGACCAAAGGTGCACACCACCACACCTAGCTAATTTGTAAATTTTCTGTAGTGATGGTTTCTCACCATGTTGCGCAGGCTGGTCTCAAACTCCTGGGCTCAAGCAATCCTTCCACCTCAACCTCCCGAAGTGCTGGGATTATAAGTGTAAGCCACTGCGCCTGGCCTCTCTCTTCTTATATAGCACAGCTTCTTTGTTAGTCAGTGCCTGCTGTCTCCTAACTGAACCTGGCTGAATCTTCGAAGTAGGAAAATTCTTTCTTCAGGAAAGCTGCTCTCACCCGATTTGTCAAACCTATTCGGCTCTTTCAAGTCTTCTGTTATCTTAATCCCTCTTCATTTGACTTTTCTCTATTTAAACATTTGCCTCCCTTGGATTTAGTGTTTTAAAAAAATGAAAGTTTGTCACTGACATTGTCATATCGCAATCCACCTTGGGTCCCTTTTCCTTCATCTGCATCCTGGACGTAGGTGTTTCCCAATATTTCAATCACAGACCTCTTAGTATCCTTCTTTAATGATCTAGTCCACTCTCATGCCTTCATCTATCACCTGTGTGGATAAATCTTAAGACTTTAACTGCAATAGACTGGGCGCGGTAGCTCACATCTGTAATCCCAGCACTTTGGGAGGCCGAGGCGGGTGGATCACGAGCCCAGTAGATCGAGACCATCCTAGCTAACACGGTGAAATCCCGTCTCTACTAAAAATAAAAAAAATTAGCCAGGTGTGGTGGCAGGCACCTGCAGTCCCAGCTACCCTGGAGGCTGAGGCAGGAGAATGGCTTGAACCCGGGAGGCAGAGCTTGCAGTGAGCCAAGATCGCGCCACTGCACTCCAGCCTGGGCGACAGAGCAATACTCCATCTCAAAAAAAAAAAAAAAAGACTTTAACTGCAATAACGCATTATTTTACAGGAAATGGGCCCTTGAAATTTGGGAATCCATGTTCACAAAGGAGGAAATTACTAAGTCCTAGAATAAAAGAAAGAACAAACTTAAATGGAAATTAGATGTCCCAATCTCTTTATTGAACAATATACCCCGTCACTACTAATTTAAAATAACTCATATACTAAATACAAACGTTTTCTCTGTTCTCTTGTTAATTGACGTATTTTCTTTCAGTGTCACATTTACAGTTGTTTTGACTAGGTAAGGCAAGACTCCATTTATTTTCAAAATTTTCTTGATTATTCTTACACATTTACTTTCCTAGAGAAACTTTCAAGATCAGTTTGACTACTTTGCCCCATGAGAAAAGGGAAAACCCCGGTGGGATTTTGGCCAGTATTTCATTAGATACAGAAAGTAAATCAGAGGTCATTTAGTATTTACCACAACTCTATAAGGATAAGTATTGTCTTCAATTTACAGAGAAGAAAATTGATACCAGAAAAAAATTAAATGACTTTCTCAGGGTCACACGGCAAGGGGTGGAGCCAGTATTTGAGCTCAGGATGCAACCCAGAAAGAGCAAGGATTGTGTGCTCTCCCTTTTGACTGAAAACATTTTTAGAAGGCAAAATACTAATGAGATAATCATCCAGAGAGCTTTTGTCTGGTTTCCTGGGCCAACAGAGACTGCATATGTTAAGCAGATGTAATGTATTTAATCTGAGAAGGGAAAAGGAAGCATTGGCAGTTTTTCTCCAAAACACTCCCCTGTAAACTGGCTGAAAGAAGGCGTTTGAGAGAATGTGGTGCCAAGCTGGCACTGTATCCTCCAGCCAAAAAGAAATAATAGTAAATGAAGAGAACAGCAGAGGTGATCTAGAAACATAGACTAATCACTTGCACACTTACGCAGCTGCTCCTTTATGTGCCACTTGTCATCCATAGCACACAAGATTAGAGTCAAACCTCTGTGACAGACATTAGTTTACACACCCACTAAACAAACAAGAACACTTTCACTTTCGTCAGTAATCTATTTCTAGTATTTTCCATAAGTGTTTATTAATAACAAGTCCAAATCTCAATCTAAGAGTATCTCTGATTTTCTCTTGTTTGGGTTGTCCTTCTGATGGATAAATAGTCTGTGCTAAATCAGAGTAGTAGCAGGAAATAAAGTATGCTTTTTCAACATTGGACATGCTTCATCCCACTGTGGTTGAACCCTACAAATCACAGTTAAATGAGCTTGGATTAGGGTCCAGAAGGGACAGTTCAATGAGAAATTATCAGCTGGTACTTTTGAGGGCAAAAAACAATTAGTACTTCCGAATGTTAATAGAACAATCTCAGAACTATTTAAGTATGACTTCCATTAATCAGCCATGCTCTTGGATTAATGATTTGTAGATTAATCTTAGATCAAACATTATATAGATTTGTGGTTGATGACACAAAAAATTTAAACCTTTATATTTTTAGTATGTATATGATTTTCCCCACCATGCTTCTGTACTTCTCAACCCACTGACATACTTAGGAATTTCCACTGTTAAGCATTTTCTCATAAATACTATTCCAGTCTTCCATCATCTTGCCTCTGTTGGATATTCTTTAAGTAGTAAAGAAGTGGCCTACTTTTGAACATGTAGCTATTCTCTCCAACCATCAATTTATTACTGTGAATGTATTGAAACAAATTGTTCTGTAGTCATCCATAACATAAAAAAAAAAAAAATTGAGCTTTAGTTCAGAATGAATGATAATATAGCCTGTAACCAGCTGTCATTTAACTAAAATGAAAGATACATGTGACTATCCTTGAATACCTCTATTTCAAACATCTCTTTAAGTGATAATCCATATGCTTATAGGGATACTTGTTACCTATTAATAGTAAAGGCTCCTAAAAATAACAAATGGGCCAGGTGCAGTGGTTCACGTCTGTAATCCCAGCACTTTGGGAGGCCGAGGTGAGTGGATCATGAGGTCAGGAGTTTGAGACCAGCCTGGCCAGCATGGTGAAACCTTGTCTCTACTAAAAAATACAAAAAATTAGCTGGGCATGGTGGCACACGCCTGAAATCCCAGTTATTCAGGAGGCTGAAGCAGGAGAATGACTTGAACCCAGGAGGCGGAAGTTGCAGTGAGCCAAGATCGCGCCACTGCACTCCAACCTGGGCAACAGAGCAACACACTGTCAGGAAAAAAAAAAAAAAAAATTAACAAATTTGTCTGTGCTTTGTCGGACCAGTGTGCAGCCAGAGGAATAAACAGCATTTGCCAAAGGATTGATTCTGTTCATCAAAATGGCTACTGGAACACAGAAATACCCATCATGCTGACTTTTATTTAAAAGCAAATATATTAGAATATATTATTGTACAATCTCAGAGGTGAAACTTATTCTACTAATACAGGTATTGATTTAAAAAAATAATTGAATCCCCTTTGAGAATCACCATAATCATGAGGATACTCTCAAACATCCTCAGTGGTTTAAAATACGCACTTGTATAACTCTTCATTTCTTGTGGATGGATTTGTTTGAAAACAGTCAAATGTCATTAGCAATTAATTAGTGTATATGATTAGTGATCATTCTACAGAAAAATTCTTTGGTGACAAAAAACAAATGATGTGACTACGAAGTTTAAGTTTCTATGTCTTACAAGCTAACATTCAAGACTCTTAACAAAATATGAGATGTGGAAAAAATGTGCACTATGGCAGCACTCTGGTCTCCTATACTTGATATGTACAGCGTTTTCTTTATTTCTTCATTATGTTATGATTTCCACTCATTTTCTATTCCTTGAGCTAATCTGATACTAAAATTAGTAGACAAATGCTCATAAATGTATTTAAAATTTACAATTTTATTTCATGAGAAACCCAAACTTACTTCCATTGTGCAAAAGTGATCAAATGAGGGTCCCAAAGCCACTTTAAAAACAGCGTTCCAGCACCATAGAGAACTGTTGCCCAGTTCTAACTTCTACCAATTCTGAAAAGTAAAAACTAAAAAGAAACCTGAAAGACTATGAAAGACTACCAAATACATGCTTGGATGAAGACTAGAAGCACTCTTTGGAGAAAAGTTTGCTCATTTGTTGTTATTCGAAAGACAGGACGAAGCTCTAGTCTAAGGCAGCTTTCCATTAACTAACTAAAACCAGTACAAGGCAGCCTTCAGTGAACTCCCTTAAAATCTTATGTGGTTCTTCGTGTGTGTGTGGCTTTGATAATTATTTTCTTCTATATTATCGTTTCCCAGTTTATTAATTTTCTCTCATCTTTATCATCTCTCCCCTTCTACTTTCTTTGGAATTACTTTTTGGTTCATTTTCTAACTTACGAAGCTATATCTCACAAGCTTTGCTATGTATTGTTTTTATTATCACAGTTCTGGGAAATTTTTTGAGTTCCATTATGATTTCTTCTTTAACCCATAAGTTATATAGCAATGTGTTTTATTATTTCCAGTTATGTAGGGTTTTTTTGTTCTTGTTGTTAAGTTCTAACTTAATTACATTATATTAGAGATACATAATACTATACAATACTTAATTTTTTTAACTAAAGTTTTCTTAACCCTAACCCTAGTACATGACTGGTTTTTGTAAATGTTCCATGTATGCTAAGAAAAATATATTCTTTCCAACTGCTCAGTCAGAACTCATATCCATTCAGACAAGCTTGTTAATTATGTTTTCCTTATCTACCTTACCCTTGACGACTTTTTTAAACTTCATCTATATGAATAATAGAAGTACTTTAAATTCCCCAGACAAACCTCTGTCAAGACAAATCAAGAGAAGAAGAGACAATATTATGAATGTAAAGGGAGATATAACAAAGGATAACACAACAACTATATGCTAGCAATTTTGAAAACTTAGAAAACATGGAAGTTTCTTGAAAATATACGTACCTTATGAGATGTGACTGATAAAGAAAAAAGTTGAACAGTTCAGCAACTATTAAAGATATTGATGCAGTTGTTAAAAATCTTCCCATAAAGATGAGATTAGATAATAAAAGTAGTTATAAGGATATACTTTTCTGGAGGTCAGGAAGAAAGGTCAGGGCTAATATGTGTCAATATTTTATCAGAGAACATGTAAAATAGAAAACTATGGTAATAACTGTAAAATAATAATAGGAATAAGACTATGAATGTGTCTATCAACAAGGGCTATTGCTCTTCTGAAAGGCCCAGCTGGCAACTTGCCCAGCCTGGGCTCCTCATACGCTGATGCACCAGAGCTATTCTTTGGAACAGAGGCTGTCCCTATCAGGGACTTGAATGAACTGTATGGGAATGAATAAAGTGTAATACAGAAAATAAGGCAATGGTGTGGAAAGGAAGCATTTGTAAAACTTGAGGGATGTGAAGGAACTATTGCCAAAGATTTTTAGAAGTGTTTGGTTTATGAGAAAGGGAAAGCTATCCCAATTTCCCAGTTTCCAATATATATTACATATATTTTTCAAAGCTCATCCCCATTTTTATTTTTAATAGGGTTCAATAATTTACTTAGGCATCACTTTTAGGATACAGGATGAAGTTTAGTGGCTGAACTAGTTGCACACAAAAAGGAGACGTTAAGCCTCTTTCTAAACATAAATATCTCTTTCTTCAGTAGCAGCATTACAAAATGTAAACTCACTGAACCAGCTGAACAAACTTCAAAAGGAACTTCAACCACTCACCTGGATACAAGCCAGAGGCTCATTTGTCCAAATTGAATATCCACCAACTAAATATATTCTCCCATTATGGACAGCAACTCCAGATTCATTTTGGCCTAAAGTAAAGAGAATTGAATAAAAAGGAAAAAAAAATCCATTTCTTACATATTTTAATTAACCCTTTTGCCACTGAGGGATACAATTTTCCCCTGTGGCACATTTGTATACTCCATGGGATTTTTGCAACAACTAATCACTGCCTCCCAGTACTCAGAAAAATTAAGCACTATTTCTCAGAGAATGAATCTGTGTCGGGTCAGAACCAGGCCAAAACACTTATTAGCCAGCCAAGTTAGTAAATACAGCATTAAATACAGCAATAGTAAGCCATGTAGAACTGAATTCTATACTATGTCATATGCCATTAATTTACAGTGGTGGAAATAAGGTATATTATAGAAATGCAAACACCTCTTCTAGTACCCACAAATGCTTTTTAGGCAAGTGCTTACATTTGTAAAGTAACAGCTGCAACTCCAAGAAGCCAATAAAGCAGAGCCATGCTCCTAGCATGCCCCAAATGAAGACAAACGGCAGAAAAGATTGATCAACTTGCTATCCTACCTTTCTTTACATATCCAACATTTTAAAGATTATATTAAAGTTCCTGAGCTGGGACCAGCCTGGATAATCCCCAGATACTGACACGCCAAAATGATGAAAGGTTTCCCCTCCCATTTCAAAAAGAAGACAGAATAACTCACTACCACATATTCTTCCCTGGAGGCCATCAGAGAGTGAAAGAGTCTCTTTTTATTGATGGGCTGACACAGGATTGACTGGGGTAATAAATAAGCTGGATCTTACAGCAGGCAGAATCACAGATCCAGAATCGAGGGCCCGAGTTTCTAAGTCCTTGTTCAGTGGGCCTCAAAAATCATTTTGCAAAAACAGGAGCTCAATACAAGCGTCTAACCCTCTGGTTAGATTCCCAGTGTTGCCTCCCCCAGCAGCAACTGCAAGGGATTGAGTGCCCACTCAGCATACTAAAATGTCTCAACCCAACCTACCATTTTCAGTTTATGATTTTTCCTATTATTTGAGCAGACCTGGAAGGGATCTGATCACTTATAGATGTTAACAATGCAAGCTGACAAGGGGGGAAAAGTTATTAACTCCATAAAGAAACATGAGGGGTAAGTTGTTCACCATGTTACCTTCATCCTTTTTTGGGATGAGAATGGTCCATACCTAATGTTGCCCTGTGGTAAATGCTTGGATGGGTATTTGTGGCCAGAAATGCCGCTAAACTCCTGTGCACAGAACTACTTAAGCGTTTCATTTCTAGGAGAATACTCCCAGAAACAGTATTTGACAGTGACAAATAATGAAGACCATGCTCCTCCTGAACTCACAAGAAATAAGACTAAAAGCAGTGAGAAGTAACAGTAAATTCCTTCTGTAAAGAGTTATTAAATCTTTCAGTGTCTGGTTCCTCCTATTTGTATCAGAGTTCCATGTTAATACTGATGGATGATAATGGACTTGACATGCCTCTCAGCCATATGAGGATGTACATAATGGTGGTAATATAGGCCCTGAGAAATCAGATGCTCAGCTACCTAAATGAGTCCAGTTCTGTTAGAACATAAATGATACACATCTTTCTGGTTAATAAATGCAAGTTCTTCTACAACTATGCACTTAATATTTAGTGATGCCCTAAAGATGTCTATGAAACATGTTTGGTGACTTCTTGAATCTACTTTTCCTGATTTACTTAATCAAAGGTACTTGCCAGTCAACAGGTTGAAACTGCAACGTGTCCACTGGTCAGTGTCTATGTTGTAAGAATCTATATGGCGCACAAGGATCCGGTCATTATTGTAGTCTAGGTCATTGCCTCCAAGAACATAAAGCTTCCTTTGTACAGCAGCCATGGAATGGTAGACCCTTCTCTGCAGCATGGGGCTACGGCTTATCCACTTATTCTGAAAAAAGAAATTTAAGTGCATTCTGTTAGTAGGAGACCTCCATGTCAGAAAACAGTAATGAGTGCCTCATAAGTAGTGGGAACCCTAATGTTTATCAAACATTCTGTTTGGATGTTGTTTATATATGTTGAAAGGTATGTGCTTCTTACATGAGAACAAGTACAAAAGAGTCACATATTCCAATTGTTTTTTGCGATTTACACATGGCATCTCTGCTAGTTTGCATTGCATTTTATAGCGCATTTTGAATTATATAAGGGGAACATTGAAATTTTCATGATGTTTATCTCACCCAATTCAGAGAATTTATTCATGCAAATACATTAAGCGTGAAAGCACATGGCTAGGTATACCTTACACAGTGGTGCAATGATTAAGAAAACAGTCTCTGGATCTAGACTGCCTGGGTTTATAACTTGTATGTGATCTTAAGCAATTTACTTAATATCTCTGTGCCAGTTTTCTCATCTGTAAAATGGGGATAATAATGCCTACCTGATAAGCCTATTGTGAAGATTAAATGAGCTAATATACATAAAGCACTTAGAAAAATGCACATGAAAAATGTTCAATGCATATTCATTTTTTCAAAATGATGTGATGATAATCACTGGGTACCTTAGGCCCCTAGATAAGATAGGGTAATGGCTCTGCTGTTCTTTCCAAAATTAACCTCCTGAGATCAGTGGAAGAGCTAAGATTTTGTTCAGCAACAAACCACCCACACTTCCTTTTATCAGCCTCCTTTAATATATTAACAGTCACATCTTTTGCCAAATTGGGAAAGGTTATTTCTAGGCACACATTTATTTGTTTTGGTGGAAGACTAAGTTTTGTTTTGTTTTGTTTTTGAGACAGAGTCTCGCTCTGTTGCCCAGGCTGGAGTGCAGTGACATGATCTCGGCTCACTGCAACCTCCGCCTCCCAGGTTCAAGCCAATTCGCCTGCCTCAGCCTCCCAAGTAGCTGGGATTACAGGCATGTGCCACCACATCTGGCTGATTTTTGTATTTTTAGTAGAGATGGGCTTTCACCATGTTGGCCATGCTGGTCACGAACTCCTGACCTCATGATCCACCAGGCTCAGCCTCCCAAAGTGCTGGGATTATAGGCGTGAACCACCATGCCCCGCTGGAAGACTAAGTTTTATATGATAACTTTAGGGAATGGTGAAACCTCCAATATTTGGTTCTGGTTCACCCTCAGTAATGAGAAGAGTATGCCCAACTTTTCATAAAATAAGGCTCTCATTGTAAAATTAAATGAAGACCAAACATGACTTTAATTTTAAATCTCAACTAAGTAATGGACAGGTAAGTAAAGAAAGTAATGGACAGGTAAATAAACATAACAGTTTTCTTTCTACCTAAACACTAAGCATACAGGAATAACCCAGATTCCTTTTTGCCAAGAAAAAAATGGATTTCGGCCAGAAAAAAAAAAAAAAGTCATATGATGTTTTGAATACATAGAATTTCACCATTTCACAAAACTGTAAGGGAAGAAGCAAAAGACAACAACAATAAACATTTTGTATAAAAATTGGTCCACTCTAATAGGCATATAGACTAGCTCATTTCTAATTTCTCTTTTAAAGATACACTCAAGAAAAGAAGTGATTTGTACGGCTTGAAAAGCTTGCATTCATCTGTTCCCCCATTCGAACATATCATAAGAATTTCCTTCCAATCAAATGTCTTCTTTAATAAAAGAGTCAAGCCTGCCTTTCAGCTATTTTGCTAATATCTATAATACATTACACATGAATATATTTAACTCAAAACTCTGAGGATGCTTTTCTTAGGTGTTTTCTATGATACAACCCATTACAGTATTAGGAATCAATGTTTGCATTAGCAGTCCAGTCCCCTGCCACCAGACTATGGATGCCATCTGGTTTGCAAAGCCTGCCTGCATCCCCTGATTATATCTTCAGCTTCCTTCACTGCAGTGCCTGCCAGGTGAGCCGCCAACCACTGCAAAGGCAAAGAAACAGAGAGGCCTGCTGGGGTCATTCCTAATAAGCTAGCGTGTGAATACTAATCAGTGGTGGGGAAGCAGAGGTCACCCCAGCCTGCCTGTTGGCAGGTAGCAATGTGCTCTGTGGCAGATGGCAGGCATTATCGACTCTCCACAAAGGCCTAGAAGAGAAATAAGCACCAGGGCCGAATGATAGAGTTATTGAGATTCTGAGCAAGATGCAAGCAGATGTGATGTTTGCCAGTACCCACTGTAAACAATATGCCAGCAGAATTTTTAAAAGAGCATGTGTGTACAAACATGAAACAGAACTCATTTGAGAAATGTTAACACCTTCTTCCTCTTTAACCACGTGTGCACCAAACTCAAGCAACTGCAATTAACGATCCCTCTTGAGACAGCTGACCCACGGACATTTGGTCTCTGAAATCTACAGCTTCTAATGACATCAGGAAACACACTTTGCAAAGAGAGAAATGCCTTCATTAAATACAGAATCAAGTGATTGCTAAAATAAAAAGATACCAAATACACTGAGTCCACTATGGACATAAATTTGGTGACCAGTCCCAACCCAGACTGCCAAAGCCAACCTGTTGTGTCATATCCCATTACCTTCAACTGATGAATATTAAACCTACAAATCATTTCAGAATACTGTCATAATCAAAAATATTTACATTACCAAAATCATAGAAATGGCAAAATTCAGCACACAATTGCCAAGGTTCATACATATTTTGGTATATGGAAAAAACAAAAATATTTCCTTTGGGGGAAAAATAGTATTTGGGTGTACATGAAAAGTAGTAGACAAAAGAAGGTACGGGCACCATCCAAATGCATATTCAACCCCCAGCTGTTAGATGAAAACTCTTCAGATACTTCCCATCTCTCAAACTCTTCATATACTTCTTTAGAGTTGTCCTAGATACTGTTTTAGGTCATTTGGGCTATATTAAGTTAATACTTGTGTTTTAGAATAAACCATAAGCATGATTCCCTCCTAGAATGGCAGCCCCTTCCAGAAGGACATTGCAATAGGACAGTTAAAATCATTTCTATATTATGCAAAACTCTGAAAGAGTGATGTATTGTGTATAGCACAAAACTAGAGGAGCTGAAATTTTTTGAGTAACAAAACAAAAAAAATGAACCAAAAAGCAGTTTAATAAGATGCTTCCTTTTCTCTATATAAGCTCAAGATGCATATCTGTGTGTGTAGACTTGGCATTCCAATTACTAATTACTCTGGAATCTTTTAAAATTCATTTTAATTAAAATAATGAGGTGTTCTTATATGATTCTTACCTGGTTAGGTTCATATACCATTAGCCTGTTCTGATATTGTGCCGTATTAGTTACTCCACCTGTAATGGATTAACATGCGTTAGAGCTTTTCATGAATAAGAAACAGGATATTCCAACATAAGAATGAGATACAATTAAAGGAAAATTAGCTTCTGCTGAGGATCTGTTTGTATACCCTCATGGTGAGCCCATGACATAATTAAGAAGCTTATTGTTAAAGCAGTTTCATTTTCAAGAAACATTTCAGAAGCAATCCAGTTAAGAGCAAGCAACAAGTATGCTGACATTACCAAGAGGGCCCCAATTCTGACAAGCTGTTCTGCATGGCCAGAATGAGGGGCAAAGTATTAGGGAGTGAGTGTGAACATACTACACACAGACAAATCTCTATACAATTTATGCCAGGGACATAGTTAAACGGAAAATTCTTGTCCTTCACTAAATTGTCAATTTTAAAGCTCGGACCTCTGTACTCTAACACAGTGATATCTTGATATCTCTTGATATTACTTATCAAAAAAAGACGTAAAGCCAGTGCTGTCCAATAGAATAAGAGCCATATATGCAAGTCACATATGCAATGATAAATTTTCCAGTAGCCACATAAAAAGTAAAAAGAAACAGTGAAATTAAATTTAATAAATTTTATGTACCCCAATATAGCCACAATTATCATTTCAACATGAAATCAACAAAAAACTTAAGATTTTTTATATATCTCATATTCTTTTCTTTCATAGTAACTCTTCAAAAGCCAGTGTATATTTGACACGACGCATCTCAATACAGATTAGCCATGTTTCAAGGATTCAATAAGCCACATGTGGCTAATGGCTACCACATTGGGCAGCACAAATCTAGGGCTCTTCAGTGCAATTGCTATTGTCATCAACCCTTTTGAAGCCCTCTTGACAACTGCTAAGATCTAAGAGACTTGAGACCCACCTAATCAAGAACCACTAAAAAAATCATCACACTTCCAGCTAAGTTTCTCTTATTTGTCCTCATACTTCTTTTCATACTTGTAGTGTATACTGAGCCCTGTAAAACCCAGAAGTTATACATTTTGCTTTAAGTTTTACCATTAAGTGGAAAAACTCTAAAAAAAAATACATAAAACAGCATAGTAAGAAAATATCACCAGTAGATATTAAATGTTAGATAATAAAATATCAAGGATATGGGACCAAAGAAGTCTATCTTTAGAAATATTGCCTTACACATTCTAGGCACTGGTGTAAAATGAATAAAACTCTTATTTTAATAAGTATCACAAAGAAGCAGCTAATTTTTCAATAAAGATATAAAATTAAGCCAAACTAAAAAAAGTTTTTTATTGGAATTTTTTGAATTTAAAAAACATATACTGTTAAGATACTGACCAAGATGGCCTTAACATTCCCCTAGCTTGACTAAACTTAAAAAGGCTGCTTCCTGACTCTAGGCCCTTTGACCTCCCTTTTCTTAGATTACTTACTTTAGAAAACTTGTAATCATAATTTCTTTCTCTCCCTCTTTCAGATGTAAATCATTTTAAAAGCTGCTTGCCAGTTTTACAACCCAATAATATCTTCCTTAAGGTCCAGAGAGCCATTCCTTTGAAATGTAATCATCAAGGAAGATAGTCCCCTATATCCCAGCCTCTATGGGAAAGTAAGATGGTAACTTTTTTTTTTTTTTTTTTTTTGAAACAGTCTCGCTCTTGTTGCCCAGGCTGGAGTGCAATGGTGCAACCTTGGCTCACTGCAACCTCAGTCTCCCAAGGACCCTAACTTTGATAGGCACCAATTAGCACCAAACACAGATGGCCTAATCACAGAGACCAAAATTTTCAACTCAGAAATAACTGCATGGGTACAACACATCCATTAATCAAGCTCCCCCAAAGTGTTCTTCAGTACTTTTCTACTAAACCACCCCAGTGCTTAGAAACCCTCCTCTTAAAAACTTTGCTTAATAGAATTGATTTCAAACTGCATTCTGATCTCTCTCTCCTATTGCAATAGTCTTGAATAAAGTCTTCTTTCTCTGTTTAACCTTATGTGGTGCAGTTTTTGCTTTGACAGTTCAAATACTTTGAGTAGGAAACCACCATCAACTACATGGCTAGGAGTCAAGTCAATGAGAATCCAGAGGATTAGTGTCTAATCCTTAACTGAGCTGGAATAATCAATCAAAACTAATGGATACATAAAGTGGAAGGAACCTATCCAGGCCAATCATTACTCTCTCACTCAACCCCAGGAAGGAGATTATATCTTTCATACAATTGGCTTTGGCTATTCTTAACTAGAGGACTATTTTTAAAATTCTCTCAGAAGCTTGAAGATTTAAGATTTTAAAGATCAACGAAAGCTTTGTCTGCAGAGAAATCCACAAAGAACACGGACATGAGCTTCCTGCCCTCAAAGAAAGTCTTCTCTGGATTTCTCATCGAACATCTCATTTTAAAAATGAAATCAGAGGAAAGGAAAACACACTTAAGAAAGCTAAGGCTGAAATGCCTATATAGTCAGGATGTGTGTCAAAATATAGAGTTGTGTTTGCTTTCACACCCAACCTTCCCTTTCTTGTGTGATTAAAAACAGAATGTTCAATAATTCTTTCTCAGCATAACCACACAAGAATAATTTAATCTCTTGAGACTTCACAAGTCTTCAGGGTTAAAATAATTGCTAGTGCTTTTGATCTGGGCCATAACCAGCAGATTAATGTCCAGTTTGCCTACAATCACTTCTCTAACTGAAAGGGAACAGAGGGCAAAGCTCCACCCATCATTTAAAGACTTCAAAAGTTTCTCTACTTGTTTTAGAAATATGGGACAGAATTAATATCTACTGCAGTAAACTATCTGTTTTATGACACTATTTGAAAATACTTACACTACTCTATGTATCAGACTCTGCCCATTATAGATTAAACATACAAGCAATGGATTAGAATGTAGCTATTACATCCCCTCTCCCAAGCAGGGCATACAATTTATCTCCATGCTTTTCAGAACTATTATTTACTATCTTCCACAAATGCATCTATAATACATTTTCTTCTTAATCTGCACTCAGTAATTAGATTCTTTACCCTTACATACAAATTTTCACTCACATGACAATGCTTAGAAATGAGATATTAAGTTACTAGTTGGGAGTAAAAATTAAAGTCCCAGTTATGTGATATTAATAGATTCCCTCTAGAATGTTAAACCACAGGAGGTGCCTAACAAACCTAGTGCTGCAACTTTTGCCAAGTCAGGATTGCAAAGAAAAACCTTGGAAACTGGTTCTATTGCTTTCCCCTTTGAAATAATTTACAAATGAGCATATAAATAAAAACCATTTTTCTTTCAATACTAAAATACATTTTAAAAAAGCATCCAAGTTTGCAGCCCACATTTCTTTAGCAGTGTTACTCATTTGCAGGGCTTTATCATTACATTCCCTTCACATAACACTCTTCACTTTTAGATTAATCTGCTGAAATGAGATGCTAAGGATTTGCATACAGATTTGACTATACAAAAATAGATATGGAATTAATAACAGTCTCTATATGTTTTAATTTCTCCTAGACTGGAGTACCCTTGCCTGCAGCAGTATTCCTGGCTTTGAAAGTCATCAAGCTGATTTGTCTGCTCTGGGTTACGATGCCACATGCTGCTATACTGTCCCCTGCAATCAAAGCACTTGCAAAGATAGATTCCATGCCTTCCTCTATCGAGTATATTTTATAGATTGGCAGTTTTGATCTCCCTCCCCCACCCCAGGGGGGATAATCTGCATCTTAACAGCTTTCTATAGATACATCTGTCATTAAATATGCCATCTCATATCAGCATCCATTTTTAAAACCAAGTTTTCTCTAACTTTGAAGTGCCACAGTGAAAGTTAAGACTTTTCAGCCAAAATTGAAAATGAGCAACCCTGTCTTATACTTTTGAACTGTGACTTAAAGATATACTGCAGGTTCCCCCAAAGTCAAATAAGTCTTTAAAAACTGCCAGAAGGAATGAAAAGTTACCACCATGCTACCAGCAGTGAGAAATGCTTTCTATCATCAAGACAGGGGAAAAGCATTTTTCTTAAGCTTCCCTGTGCAACTCGCCACAAAATGTTGTGACAAATGGATGAGTGCATACTGGAGAGATGACAAGCGACTGCCAAACAAGCAACCTTTGTCTCTGCTACTGAGATCACTGACTCTCAAACTCATATTCTACTCAAAAGCAACAACTGGTCAATGCTGACAGTACTCATAAAATAGAGTGTACAGAAAAACTGCTCTCCTGGTACATGGTCAGACTGGGTCAAGTCTGATGGCTCTGCTAATTTTCTTTTAATGACACAAAACACCTCTGTTGATTAAATAGAGTAAACTGCAGGAGTAGATGCCTATGGTTCTTAATGCAGTGCTAATGCACAACCAGGACAGAGTGGGATGCAAAGAACTGATCCCCACACACAGGGTGGAGCATGCTCCAGGTTGGAATTCTGCCAGCAAATTCAGGATTGAGCAAAACCATCTCAAGTTTTCTGCAACTGTCCTGGAGACATGCAGTGGCCAGGTTCACACTAGTCTAAGGGAAGAGTTTCAGGACAGGCTGTGGCATTAACATGGGTCCTCTATGACTGTATCCTTGGGGAAGCCGTTTAACACAGCCACGCTCAGCTTCCTCATATGCAAAACAGACATGATGATACTTCCTCATAGGTTTCAGATGAACTAGAGTGCATGGCATAGAGACAATCTACAGAGGGAAGTTTGCTACAATCCTGTAGCTGTTTATAAAAATTTCTTACCATTTCCATAAAAGATACAGATGACTGTATGTGAAATACTGAATTAATGAATGAATGAATTGCATAGTGTGAAACAGATTTCTTATAATTCTTTTTTCTAATAACCAGAGTTACCAGGGTTTTTTTTTTTTTTTTCAGTAGTCAAGGCCCTTTTCTTTCTTTAATAGTTTAAGCCCCTCTCTTCCATAAACTTTCTCCAGTTCTTGAAAGACTAAAACTTCATGCTTACAATTTAATTACCTAAAGAATAACCTGCCATTAAG